ATAATTTAAATAATAAACTATCTTCATAAAATTTTATTTCAAATAGAATTTAATAGTTATTTTAAATTATTATATTATTTAACTATAGATTATATAGCAATTTTATTATTAATATATATATAAATTCATTTCTTAATCGGATAGAAAGTTTACTTTAATGTAACAATCTATATATTAGATACATCAGATTAATTCTCCAGAACTTTGAAACAGTTAAATAGCTAAAGATAAAAGGATTTAGTGCTTATCTTATATAAGTAATTGGTTAACAATTTGAGAGTTGAATGAAAGTAGACAACATAGTGACAGTTCAACGGTATCTTATAACATAAATTCTTCCTTAACTTTTTACGGGATACTTTCATCTTGTCAGGTTTGTCTGAGTTTATTGTGAAAGTTTATCTCATTCTCCCCTTTTCCTTTCAAGCTTCTTCGGAAGGCGATTTTCGAAGTCAAATATTTGTTTTAGACCGTGATGCAAGAACGTCTAATGATCCTCACAAGATTGAACTTTTTTGTGTTAAAATACATACTGTACAGAAACACATTACCTATTTCTGTTATAGATCTACAGTCGAAGATAAAATCGTTATTTATCGAATTTAAAATCGTTATTTGTCAAATTTAAAAAAAGAGTTCCTGAGAGCTAAATCTCAAAAATTTTGAGCAAGTTGTTTTGCACATTTACAATAAAGTATCATTATTAAAATATACTTTACTTATTAATTTTGAACTATTTAAATATCGTATTTTATGTATTCTTGAAGAAATTACTGTTATGTGATGCAAGGGAGAATGATATTTTTACTTTTATAACGTTATGTAATCGAATCTTTTACAATATAAATATTTACGAAATGTTCAGCATCTCAGCAGGCAATCAACGAGTCGACAGGCGATTAGAGTGGTCCATAGGGTATATTGGCACAAGCATACGGCTACGAGACGGTTGAGTTTTTATTGCCACGTATTGCTTTGACCCGCGTTTATCGCTCTTACGTATCAGGTTTCGCGATATTGAACCACGTCCCATACGGATGGCCTTTGGTAAACCGACCACTGGTCGTCGCGGATTCCTGTGGCCTGGCTCTATCTCTAAACCCTTGTATCTTCTATTAAGGCGCCAAACTAACCAACATGCAAGGGGACTACCCGCCGCTATCCATTGATCTATTTGTGATAATTACACATCCAATTAACAAGCACCTTTGTAACGTCAAACGGCGGATATTAAATCGGCTACTAACTAATAATTAATAATCCTAATATAGATATAACGTAAGTACCGAACAATTATTTTTAAGAAACAGAATTTAGTATATTTAAATAATATAAAGAATTCATAATTCATAAATAAATCTTAATATTTGCAAAAATTAATAAATTTAAACTTTGATTATTCGACAAACTTCTTTGATATTTTTTGCTTAAAAATTCAAGCAATTTCTCTGTATATATTTAAAAAAAGGAATAAATAAATAAACAATTATTGGGATAATTTTTGTAAAAAGATGAAGCTGCATTTCTAATAATTTATGAAACAATGCTATATGTAAAACTTTTAAAGTCTAAATCTCTCGCGCAGAAAGAGATTTTGCACAAGTATATATATAGTCTCTTTACAAGCGCATTAAGTTTTGAAATGCACCATAATGCATGAAAAAGATGGAAACTGCATTGCAAACAGTGATATAGTAAATTGTGGGTATGACCTTCTTCTTCAAGAAATTATATATACATTATCTCTATTCTTCTCAACCACTATTTTTGGAACAAATTAGCTAAGATAATATATTGAAACAAATTAGCTAAGATAATATATTGAAGCAATGTGTGTGTATCTAGAAGCTACTTTGATTGAAAATCGAAACGCAGCTTTGATTACGAACTTCTGACGTGATTAAGTAGCGGCATGTAGGT